CTTTTTCTTTTAATAAAACTGAGTAAATGTTCCTCGGCATTTACCCCACTGATTTTGGTGGTTTACCTACCGGGCTAAAAAATGTGAAAAACACTCTAGGGAAATACATGCTTATATGAGAGTAGTCATGGGATGAGTGACATCTTGGAGAGTTTCTGAGGGTGAACACAAATGAGGACAAAATGTGAGGTAAAAACTTGTTTTAGTTTGTGAGAATAGTACCAAGTTTGGTGAGCATATAGGTGTATCACCTTGAACTAGGTTGGGTCAGGATTTACAAGTGATACCAGAGCAACCTTGCGACAGTGTGCTGATACAAGATATCGAATTAGACCCGTAGCAAGGGAAGATTATTGAAGTTGATTGAGATCAACTTCTAGACGCAACACGTACGTTGTGTTCCTAAGTTGAGGTAATATAATACTGAGAAAGTTCTCAAAAGGATAAAAAGTACTACTTCTACCAACAAGGTGTACCTTTTTTATGGGAGCTCAATTATATTGCTTAGAACTCTAAATTTAAGCGTACTTACATTGAAGTAGTCTTAGGTTGGGTGACCTGCTGAGAAGTTTCTCTAGTGAGGACAATGTGCACAGTAAAATCTTGTGTTGATTTGTGAGAATATTACTAAGTTTAAAGAGCATCAAGGAGTATCACTACAAACCGGGTGGGGTGGGAGTGTTACAAGATCTGTGTGCCAGAATAATTGAGATCATGCAAATTCATAGGATGAAGAAATCATTTGAATGTTTACTAAAAGGCTAACATATAAATCATTCTCCATTAGCAATAAGTTGTATGCTAAAGGTCATTGTGGTGTTTTTATTGAGTTCGAGGAGACCAAAGAACAGTGGATTCCGAAATCGTGAAGGAGGTGTGTTTAGGAACAGGAATACGGAGGTACCTGAACTGGTATAAATTATGATGTCATCACTTTATTTCTTTATTTACTCACACCATTATGTATCACGCTTAAATGAGTAGATTGCAATCCATGTCATTAAGCAAACTTCACATTACCTTATTTATTGAGGCGTCCATTTCAGGCTCTACTTCTCAAACAATTATAAAAGATGATTGGTTCCTTCCCAACCTAGTGATAAGTTTTAAACAAACATTATGACTTCTCCTTTAAAGACACAACAAACAAAACATAATAACATAAATGAATTTGGAGTGGAAATTCCACTCCCCTTTTAGTGTGCATATCACGACTCACGAAAAGTCAACAATAAACAAAACATAATAATACAGCACATCATAACTCAAATTGGAGATGTACTAAGATCATTGTGGATAGTATCAAATGGAGAATAAGTAACAGAAAAGTAATGGGAAGTGGGAGTTTATTTTATTTGCTAAATTGAAAAGAAATGCATGTCACGCTACAGACTTTATTACATGAAATAATGTTTACTATTATAAGTTATTAAAAATGGCATTACTCAAATGACCATATGATGGATGAAACATCTCCCAAACTGACGAAAGGGGTGATGTGGATTTAATGGAGGAAATAAGTGATAAAGACCGCCTGAAAGAAGCATATCTCTTAGGAATCACAATTGAAACATTATTTATGGTAGTAGGACAATGAACAAAAATTATATTTAAATTTCTGATTAGGTGAGTGGCATGTAAGCATGGGGTGAGGGGAGGAAAGGGTGGTCGTCAATGACCTGAAATGGGAATGGAATGACCATTGCCCATGATATTACATTGATGAGTTCTAGTATTAAAATTGAGTGTAAGAGTACCTTCATTAGAGGTCATCTAAGTGGTATTAGTGTCCATATATGTGTTGCTATTGAGAGGAGTCAAAGACATAGTATGCCTGTATACGACAAACATCGACAACACTTTGAGTAAGGTGAAGATGTGGAGGTTGGGGCTGAAGGATATCACCAAAGGATTGGGATGAGGAGATTGTGAGATCGACCAAGGGGATGATGAGTAAGGACACAGAGAAGCAACTGTGTGCGGTGGCAAGTAACCCCAAGGATGCATGCCCCAATGACCGAAGGAAGGTGTGCTAGCACAAGGGTGGGATCTCGTTGGTCCATAGCTAATGTGTTTTTACCTAGACCACCACGATTCTTTGTTTCTCAGTTACAATTGTTTTTGTTGTACTTGCTAGCAACATGATAGTCAAGTTGAGGAGTAGATGGTTGTGGAGCATTGTGGTCTACGACAAGGTCCGTGAATGGCCTTTGAGAGCATAAGATAACCACGGGCCTTGCTTTGTAGAATAGAAACAATGGATCGAGTTTTGGATAAGAGAGGCAAATGTATCATATGCTCTCGAAGGCCATTCACCATGCAGAGAACCGGAAATGATAAGAGATGGCCATTAACCACTTGATCATCTGAAATTTCCAAACTTTTGCAGTAGGAAGAAATGTTGGGGAAATTCTCGAGATGGGTGTTGGAGAACTGTGCTACAAGGTGGACTATACAATAATTGTTGTTGTCTTGAAAAAAAATCTTCTAAGACATCCCCATAGAACCATGTCAGATTGTGCCATATAGCCATTGCAGAACAATGAGATCAACGTGGTGCCAGAGAGCCTTGAATTTGGCAGAAATAGAGCATTGAATGAACATTTTTCTATGTGAGAGAAGAGCTTCACCAGAAAGTGTTTGCTAAGAATCATTAGTAGTGAAATAAGGGATAATGCAATATAGGACTTGTAGAAACAAACAATGATTTCAAACAATTCCTCCCAGGGGGGATATACTCGACATTTTCAATATCAAGAATGATCAGATAAATTTAATATTATAAACAACAAGAGCAGAGTGGAAAGTGGAAACTTTAGTTGAGGCGGCCATGAATAGCGACCTAAGAGTATATAGAAGAAAATGGAGCTTGGTTCAGATACCAAGTTAGGAGCTAAATTTGAATATAAATAGATCAACCAGTTACAATGTACAAGGATTACTAGATATATTTAAACTAATCTATCTCTCTATATTTAGATAAGGTGATATCTACGAAACTATAATGTGAAGCCAATAACTAAATTCCTAATTATAAGGTAAGTAGTAAAGGTGGGAACACATGAACATGACCGACTTAAATGATTAGGAGCGTATTAGTAGGAAACCTCGATGATTTGGAATTTTCATGACAATGTTAGTTTATGTGCATCCAATGCATGGGAGGACACTATGCTGTATCAACCCCTTATAGTAGTTCTACAAAATGTGACAACTTCTTAAAACTGTTGATAACAGACAAGCTTAAGAGCATTTTGTAGAATACATTTCTATATAATAAAAAGTTACGGAGTAACATATATCCTATGTTGTCAATCAAAGCATTGAGAAACCACCTACTATTAGAGATGTTGGTATTATATTAATATCAAAAGCAAACTATACAACTTTGTTAAGATAATAAGCTTGGAGCATTTCTAGAGCAAAAATGTGAACGGTTTTATCAACAATACTTGCCATAGAACGAACAATGATTTTAAACAAATTTTCTCAAGAATAAACATGTGACACGAGAGAGATAGAAACAAAAAAAATTACAAAGTAGAGTTTCTCTCCTTATTTAAACAGTTTTATCTCTTTGTATAATTGTATCTGCATAGTGTCAATGATAACATCCAGTCGTAAATATTGTGACAAGCATTGTTGATAAAGGTAACTTAAAGTATAGAAGACCATTGAAAGAAAAAGATATAATTTTCATTAATTTTATTTTAATGTATCTATAATTCTGAAACAACACATACACTCTACGCATTGTTACATTGGAGATTTATAATTGATAAGATGACTATGATAAATAATTTGTGTGTTGCAAATAGAGTTTAATATAAATTGAAGTAAAAGATATGTTTGCATAACATTTAAAATAAAAGCAAAAGATATGTTTGATACTAGTATAAACTATGATAATCCTTACCAAAACATACTTGGAGTACTATGGCCATGTTTGGTAATGGCTGCAATGGCTGAAAAGGCTGAAAAGACTGAAATTCTGAAGTAAAAGTGTTTGGTAAAATATTGGCTGAATTGGCTGATTGAATGTGTAATTACTATAAAGGGTATTCTTTTTTTGGTACTACAATACTCCAGATTACCAACAACACATATCAAAGGAAGAGCGAGAATAAAAATCATAAACGCAAAATCACTCTGGTGGGAAATAAAGCACAAAAAAAATCTTTTCATACCCAGAAAGCCACAACCAAAAATTCTTTTCGTTACCCATTTTATGTTCAAAATCAAAGGTACAAACCAGATCCTAATACAAGAAAGGTTTAGCTAATCAAATGTATAGGTTGAATTTCACAAACGACGAAAAAGATATGCTCTGCTAGCTTACCAAATTAGTTGGAGGATAGGGAGAAGAAATTGCAAAAATGAAGAATAGATGAAGAAATTGCAAAAATTAGTTGGAGACTTGGAGCCGAGGAAGACATTTCGCCAAGTAGATAAGGATACCTCCGTCTCTTAACATTTAATAGTACTAAAAATAAAAATCAGCTCAAAAAGTGACCCCCAAGCTACTTTTTTGGCTGATAATAGAAATCAGCCAAAGCAGCCAAATGAAGTGGTGTTTGGCTATTTTTAAGAATTTTCAGTCTGATCAGCCCATTTTTACTCTTCTAAACACCCTCTATATATAATACTTTCTCCTGTCATACATTTATCTTCTGTTTTGACGTAACAAATAAACTAATCGGATGAACAATGAATTCTTTTGTCATAAAAGAAATCAAATTTTGTTTTGGAACAAACTAAAACTAGAAGAATGAAGATAATCCTTGAATAGAGAGTAAAAGTTTTGGACTTATTTGTGCCCTCGTATATACGGACTTTGTGACAAAAAAAGACGAGAACTGAAAATTCACAAACACAAGGACTGTTCGCGTTAAAATCCATTTATCCATGGATCAATTGGGCAAATATTAGTGGTAAAAATGCAATTAGCGGAAGTTAGACGGTATATTTTGGATTTAATAATGCGTTGAACGAGGTCGCATGGGGGCTTTAGGTTTGTCTATATATACCCTATGACCGCCTTCTCACGCCTCTCCACCGAAAGAAAGATCTCCAAGCCGAGATAAACGAGCTTTTGTTTTCCGCAGCACAGTCGTAGTGTGGTTGCCGGAATTCTCTCCGTTCCGATCGAATGGCAGACACCTACTGCACGGACTGCAAGCGGAACACCGAGGTTGTCTTCGACCACTCCGCCGGCGATACCGTCTGCTCGGAGTGCGGGCTGGTGCTGGAATCGCGCGCCATCGACGAGACCTCCGAGTGGCGTACCTTCGCCGACGACTCCGGTGACCACGACCCCAACCGTGTCGGTGGACCCGTCAATCCCTTGCTCGGCGATGTCGGCTTGTCCACCGTCATCTCCAAGGCTCCCAATGGCAACGGCGACTCGTCGCTCTCCCGGTTGCAGAATCGCGGCGGTGATCCAGATCGTGCCCTTGTTCTGGCTTTCAAAGCGATTGCTATCATGGCTGATAGGTCCGTCTGTCTGTCCGCCTGTCTTTAAAGACGGCAGATATTAGCAGATTCTTTTAGTTTGGTGGTTGACTAGGAATGACTTCAAGAATGAATTTTGGAAGCAAAAATTAACCATGAAAATCAATGCATTATCCAGCTAATTGAATTGGTAATCGTTTTGAAAATTAGGTATGATGATTATCGTGAAGTCTGCAAGTCGAGAGTTACAACTATTTGAGTGTAGATGATAACTAATTTGAGGATTCCAAATAACAACACACAAGGCTTAATCTCAAAGTAATATAGCAAGGAATCCACATTTTCATATGGGCTTCAATTTAAGTCTTAATCACACATGCTGATTTGATCGCTGATGTTTAAGCCATTGATTCATGAGTAAAACTGGTGGCAAAAGTTTTTCTATTTTAAAGTAAAAAATTGATCTTTTTTGGTATGGTGTTCTAATTTATGTAATTTATGTTTCCAGGTTGAGCCTTGTCTCTACTATAAAGGTATACATGCTTTCTTTCGCATCTGTTTGATATTAACGGGACTACTATGTATATTCTTATTTTCTGGATGTTACCCTATTATGTCTTTGCAACTCAAGATGCGTACCTATTGATTTTGGACCCTAAAATATAAGTAGTAAACCTATGTCTTCTATACTCGCACATTTTCTATAATATTTTCTCAGATACTCCTTAATGAGCATATGCAACATAGAAGTTTGTCATGTTGCGTTTGTACCTCGCAATCTGAAGTTGCTTTGCCCCAGCAATCTTGTATCAATGATGGTTGTTTCCTTCCCTTTATGTTTAAAACATGAAAACACCATATAATTTGCAGGACCGAGCAAGCGAATATTATAAAAGGCTAGAAGACCTAAAGTGCACAAGGGGAAGAAACCTTGATGCCTTGGTGGGTGGCTGCATCTATATTGCGTGTCGACAAGAAGGAAAACCCCGCACAGTAAAAGGTTTTGCCAAGCTATTTGTGCATTGTTGGTATTTACTGATTCACACAATTGGATGAAATTGCCTGATCTCTTCTGGTCGTTGATCAGAAATTTGCTCAATTGCCAATGGAGCAACAAAGAAGGAAATTGGCCGTGCAAAAGAATTTATTGTTAAACAATTGAAGGTTGAATTGGGAGAGTCAATGGAGATGGGAACGATACATGCAGAGGACTACCTGGTAACTTTAGTGACTCATAACCCAAGATCTTGTGACTAATCTTGTGGTGCAACTTTGTTCTTCATAGTCTACATATTTTATGTTAGAATCCATTTTTGTTGTTTTACCTATGTTACCTAATATGCTGACATGCGTATCAACCAGAGGCGTTTTTGCTCCAACCTTGGTATGAACCATGAAGAAATTAAAGCTGTTCAAGAAACTGTCCTTATGTCAAAGGAGTTCGATATTAGGTACCATTATGCTATCTTCTCCCTCTCCCTTTGTACTTCGATAATTTGTTATCTGAACTTCACCAGTTTCTGTAGAATGGGGTGAAACATATAGCCTATGCAAACACTTCTTACACTGCTGTGGTTATACTTTTTATTTATTGTGATTAGCTCGTGTGCTATAGGGCCTTTTTGGATGGAGGGTTCTGGCGGGTTGGTGGAAGACTTTGGAGGACTTCATCTATATTTTGATTTACATTTGAGATTTTTTAAAAATCGAAAGATAAATACTTTATCTGGTTGATAACATTTCAATACTCTTTTATTTGTTTTTAGGAATATTCTATTTAGACTGAGCTATCATGGGAAAAAAATATATAGACTGAGCCCAACTAAACCTTCACTACGGAACCCCTCCAAAAATGTTCATCCATTCAAACCCATGGCTTGAACTTTCTTCAAAATGCATTGCATATTGCTTGCATGATTTTGTTACTTGAAAAAGTTACTTATGGGAAACTTCTTGCGGATTTATTCATTTATTGTGTTCCAAGAAAACCATGAAAGTGAAAACTGATCAGGGTTGAAATCCTTTTGGCATTGCCGCATTGATTGCCTGATTATTTTCTATTAAAAACAGACATGGGCATTGATGGTTGATTTATTGTGCTATTAATGAATTTGCAAAACAAAACAGCAAAGGAATTACTCTAGCTCCCTAAAAAGTTGCAACGGTTGTGTTACATTTGTTTCATCAGCAGTGTAGTTAAGGAGATTAAACGGATTAGCCCCCCCATATTTTCGATCATGTCAAAGAAAAACATGGCAACAAATAGCTGGGTGAAAATAGCGAACATATCAAAACTCTTTAATTATTTGAACTGTGTCATACAGCCTTTTTATGTAAATATGAGTAATGTACAAATCAGAGTATCCTCGTTATGTCTTAAAAATAATTGAAGTACTTAACCCATCTTGTAGGATTGAAATAGTCACATATTGAAGAAAAAACATGTTTTTATTTATCTGTTTTTTGTTAGTTTATGTTCTAGTCCTGTTTATGGAATTTAAAATTTTAAACTGATTACTGTCGAAATATACTATTGATGCTATGCATGTATATTTTGCCTCTCACTTATGTACACAGAGTGTAATTCAATTAAAACACATTCTTTTAATTGCTTCCACAGGAGGAGTCCTATATCTATTGCTGCTGCAATTATTTACATGCTCACCCAGCTTTCTGATGCAAAGAAACCCTTGAAAGGTTTGGACATCTATCTGCTTCTAATTTGTTATCCCTGTTATACTGTATCTTGAAAGGGATGCATAGGTCTTTTAGCTTAGCACCATGTTGGTATCATAGGTTCTTCATGCTAGATAGCAGCTAAGGATTATGATCTTCAGTAGGATGCATAAGTATAAAATGCGGGAGCATGAGTAACATTTTAATTTCAATATTGACAACCCTAAGAAATTATTGTTAATTTTGTTCCTCTTCACAAAGGTCCACTTAAGGGCTCAAAATGCTATTTGAAGTCAAATACTTTTGCATCAAGGGTTTGATGTTTTCAAACATTTTGGGTGTCTTTCGGTAAAGCTCAAATAGCTCCGGAAGTGTCAAAATATTCTTTAAGAACGTTTTGCCCAGAAGACTTTAAGTAGATCCTATCCAAAAAATTCAACTACTTCAGAGCAACATTTTAGTATTAAACAACTATACCAAGCCTCCATACTTGGAAATCACAACCTTTTCAAACCCAAAAACCACATTTTGGAAAAACAGCATTTTAAAAGTCTTCATTGATTAAACAGCCCCTTGTCACTCAAAAGTTTATACATATGCAGATATAGCTCTTGCAACTACTGTTGCGGAGGGGACAATCAAGAATGCGTATCGGGATCTCTTTCCCCACGCTTCAAAGATTTTACCGGAATGGTATATTAAAGACAAGGACACCAAGAACCTTAGCAGCCCGAAGGCATGAAAAGCTTGGAGTTGTGGGGAGTTTATCGGCAGATATTAATATATACAAGACAATGATATACCTAGGTAGAGGGGTTAGAGAAAGATTCAGAGAGTGGTGTAATTATCTCGAATTTACCTCAAGTGACTAAAGTGACTGTGAGATGATTTATGAATAAAATTTGATAAACTTTTACCATTACCTGAATCATTCTTGATCCCGCTCGTGCCCTATATCATTTGTATCTTTAGTGTGATGTCTGCAGACCTTTAATCTCTTGAGAATTAATTCAAGGAGCTTTTCTAGGCAAGTCAATTGCAATATTAGTATAGGCTTTGGATATATGAAAATAATGAAATCACCCCCCCTCCCCCCCATCCGAACAACGATTTGATCCAATCATTCTTGAAATGAAATGCGTGCGGGATTTGGAATTTGGATCATATCAATTTTCAATGACGTTTGGAGATGACCTCACTCCAGGGGAGGCTCTGGCAGCACGCTTGTGAGGAGATGGTATGGCATAGAGTGATTTGATTCATTACTTTCAGTGTAGCGCTATAGTTATTGTGTGGCGTATGATGAAAGCTGTGCTCATAGAAAACCTTTTATTTGGAAGATTTCTGATTCATTTTTTCCATGAGTGAAAACGTTATGATTCATAGTGGTTTTACCCTTCAATTCAGTGACTCGCATCGTGCAGCTGGTCGAAAAAAATGCTATGATTCATTGTTGCAGACTGATTCTCCAGTGACCAGAAATTAATCAAGTGTTTGTGTGTTTCATTTCTGGTTGTTAGTCTAATTTAGAGAGCCTTCTTTTTCTTTGTCAATGGCTGGTAAAGTATGCGATTATATTGCCTAAATGCCTATTGCTTTCGATACAAAATGTTTACCTTTGCTATTAGTCTTCAGCCACGTGGGATTGGTGAACTGGAATGCCCCCATTAAATATTACGGTATAGCTACTACTTATACTGATGTTATGTAAACTACTACTATGAACTTATGAAGTATAAACAAAAAAGTAAATGGGATAATTTTGTGCTACACTTTTTCGTTTATGTTTATGTTTATGTATATTTATACTTGTACTTGGAAGTTCACATTTTCTATTATGTATTTGAAATCTGAATGGTTCGATATGAAATGAGTACTACGTAGTAATTTCTTTAGTATTCTGAATTCTCCATTCACCCCGTAGAACTTATCCAATCTCAATTTGCATGTGTGATAATAAAATAAATATTATAGGGTTGAGTAGATGAAAGGAAAACATCATCGATCATAGGAATTTCACTTTAAAAGAAAATGACAATTTTTTTGGAACCATATTTAATTCTCCCACCGTCCCATTTTAATTAGTCAAACTTGATTTTTCAAGTCAAAGGTGTCTTACTTTGATTGGTTATATATTTGTATACAAAAATATTGATAATATGAACATGATGAATTTCAAAATGTTCTTTATTAAAAATAGTATGTTCCACTAACAATAGGACAAGAGGAAGTGACACGTAAATCTATAAAAAGTGGTTTATATGGTTAATATTGAATTGATAAAGTAAAATAAAGTAAAAATGATTTAGAGTCACACAAACTTTACCAAATAGTGTATGAGATAATCTTAGTAGGACAGACCAAAATGTTAAATAGGACAATCTTAGCGGGACGGAGGTAGTATCATAAAAGTATAAAATTATTAAGTTTTGCATAAATGTATTAGTTACAAGAATTGGTTCAAGTTTATCATCTCTTACTACAAAGTCAAAAGTGACTAACCAAAATGGAAGGAAGGTAGTAAAATTTAGTGGCACCGCAAAGCGAGTATGTAATATCTTTGGTTGGCCATTGATATTATTTTGAATTGTTTACCGTTGTTTGAATGATGCATAAATAGATGTAGTTTTTTTTTGGTAGAAATAGGCTAGATGTAGTGTTTAATACTATAATCTATCATGCCAAATATATATGGTTCAAATAAATCACGTATTTATTTATTCTTAGTACCACTATGCCTCATAAATGAATGTATGGGTATCAAAATAGGAAAACAATCTTACAGTTTGGATTAGCTATATTATTGATAAGAAGAACTTTATTGAACATCTACATTGATGAGTACTTTTGCATATAAAATTGTCCTACGAGTTATACTTGCGATTTGCAAGCTAATAAGCACTACAACGTGGCAGAATTTACACTTTGTATCTTGTAGATAGTATGTAGTACTCCCTCCGTCCCATAAATTTGGCCGTTTTGACTTTTCTTTATCAATGGTGATCAAGTTTGATCAAATGTTCTTAAAAAAATGAAAATTATATGAAAATGTTCTTTGTTAAAAATATTTTAATGAAAATATAAAACTATAAGTTTAAAAAAAATATAATAACTAAAATCGATGTTCAAACTTTTTTTACATTGATCAAGAAAAGTCAAAATGACCAAATTTTGTGGGAGGGAGGAAATATTATTTTTTGAAGAATCCCATAAAAGAGTGAAGGTACCATATCTATGGCGTGTATCATACGTAGTATATTACACACTGAGTATCGTTATTGCATCTTTCTGTGGCTAAAGTTAATTCTGTCCCCTCTGTTTGAATATATTGTTTTGTTGATGACAAACTACTAGTGTCATTTTTGGTATATAAGTGATTGCAGGAAAGGAAGATAAGTCGTGCTTTGGAACAAGCCGTAGACCTGAACCCGGAACTATCCTACAACAGATATATATGTTGTTGACTAACCGTGCAGGTGGAACTAATACCGATCCATTTCTAGTTCCGTGATGTGGTATTAAATTAATGTTGTTTGCACCTACTCGATTCTCAATTAATGTGTCTTCCTTAATTATATGAGTTCTTATTTGAGTGGTATATTACTTTATTACTGTATAAAAGTAATATGAATGGTTTTTTAAGATATACGTAATTTGCTTATTGAGTGGTGTACTACTTTATGGATAGTAATGTATGCTTGCATGGTATGTCTTTTGTGTGATATCTTTCCATACATGATTGCATGATTAGACATATAACTTTTGGAAAGTATCTTTTATATTAATGTAGCATTTGATCTTACTTTATGGAAAGGTGGCCGTATATTTACTTACCATACAAGTTGAATTGCTTATTTGCTTTCCCTGATTATTGAAATTTGAAATAATCTTTTTTTGAGTGGGTTGTTGACTTCTTGGAATAAAACGTTGAATACTTAATCATGTTAAGTGCTCTAAAAATATCTTGGGAGCAATAATTTTGGTTGTAAAGATATTAAAGGCAGCTCTCCAAGATGGAAAGCAATTCAAAATACAACTAGGCAAGGATCAACATTGATTTAAATGAGAAGAAGGCTCCAACGGATTTATTTAGAGAAGGCCTATATAATCGAAGTGGCTGGAGAGAAAAAGGTGTGCTTGACCAGAGAAATATTCAGAGACACACTCGAGAAAAATACGAAGTTCAAGGCACCTGAAACTGCTCACTCGGAGTTCTAGATAGAGTTTCTTCTTTCCCTTCTTCATATTGTAATGGGGTTTTGAGGATTGGCTAAGAGTAGCCTCCTCAGGTTGGTTTGTGTGTGTGAGAGCTTTGTTGTAAATCTGAGAGGCTCTCTACCCGCAAGGTAGAGATGCATAACTCTTCCTAGAGAGGATAGAGTTGGGGTGGCTCAAGGGTAGACTAGGAGAGTTTCCCTTGTAATCATTCAAAAGGCTTTTTAGTGAAGTTGTTTAAAATTCCTCCGAGGGAGGTCGAGGTTTTTTAATCCCTTTGAGCCAAGGGATTTTTCCTCGTTAAATTCTTGTGCACTTTACTTTTCGCAATTCCCTTTACCCCGCACTAGAACTGGGCGAAAAACTGCCACGGTTCCACACACACACAATTCACCCCCCCTCTTGTGTTGCTAACCGTTTTCATCAATTGGTATCAGAGCCGGTCTTCACCACATAGAGGTTAATACCTTGGGAAGAGATCCGGCAAAATGAACACGGTTGACCGTCTTGAAGAAGGCTATTCGACCGTACGACCTCCAATGTTCAATGGCCAGTTCTATCAATTTTGGAAAAGCCGAATGGAGAACTTTATCAAAGCCGATAATTATCAGGTATGGAATGTGATAGAAGGTGGCGACAACGTCATCACAAAGCTAAACGGCAAAGGTAAAATTGTTCCTAAACCTAAAGCTGAATTTACTACTAATGATTATCAAAAACTCGAGCATAATGCCCAAGCTCTTAAATACTTGATTTGTGGTCTTGGTCCTGCTGAACACAACCGAGTTCTAGGATGTAAGACTGCAAAACAAATGTGGGATTTGCTCGAGGTTACTCATGAAGGTACCTCACGTGTAAAAAAATCTAAAATTGACATATTTATGCGTAATTACGAATTATTCGTAATGAAGCCTGGAGAGTCAATTAAGGATATGATTACACGTTTTACTAATATCATCAATGAGCTTTCAGCCCTTGGAAGAGAAATTACAGTGGAAGATCAAGTAAGAAAAATTTTAAGAAGTCTGCCCCAAGTATGGAAGCCTAAGACCACGGCTATTGAAGAAGCAAAGGATCTATCCACCATGACGCTTGAAGACTTGACTGGATCACTCTTGACATATGAACTAGGTCTTCAAGAAGAACAAGATGCCGAGAGTGCTAGGCGAGAGAGAGGAATTGCTCTAAAAGCTCGAGAAGAGGAGGAAGAATCCGAAAGTGAATCGGAAGATGAGATGAGCATATTTGCTAGACAATTCGGGAAGATGTACCGACGGTTCAAGAACAACCGGAACAAACAAGGTAAAAATAACTTTCAATCTTTTAATAACCAAGGCTGTTTTGTTTGTGGTTCCCTTGAGCACAGGGCTAAAGACTGTTCACAAAAGAAAAATGACCGGACCTACGACAAGAACAAGTCCAGTTCTAACCGGAGGTCCAGCAAAGACAAAGGGTTCAAAAGAGATCTCAAAAGGGCAATGATGGCAGCCTGGGGAGACTCGTCCAATGACGAAGAAGAGGAGAGTGATAAGAACTCTAACCATACATGTCTATGTCTTATGGCACACTCCGACGAGGAATCCGACCAAGAGAGCTTCGAGGTAAACTTTGAAAATTTTCTATCTAAGTTTGACTCTCTATCCAACACCAAAGCCCGGAAAATTTTCAAAAGATTGACTATTGAGCTTAATCAAAACCTTTCTGAAAATGATCATCTTAAATCACAAATCACTGAGCTTGAGTCTAAACTTGAGGAAGCCACGAGAGCCAAGATAAGGCTTGAAACAAAAGTGGGAGAGTTAATAGATGAAAGGCTTAAGTACAGTGAAGTGGTTTTAGAACAAGATCAAATCATTTGCTCTCTTAAGCTCGATAGTATGAACAAACAAGTTAATCATGATGAAAAACTTCTCTCAAAAATTCCGAGCGTTGGTACTTTGATTGATCATCTTCATCGTCTTGTTGCCGAGTGTACAAATTTTAAAAATAGACCGGATTACCAAGCATATAGTGCTACGAACAAAACCAGGTCTAGACCTTATTCTGGAACTGGTCCCCCTCGGCACAATAAGAAGGAAAACGAGACTGCTGGTCTCGGTTATATTCCAAGGAACACTCAACCTAATAAAAGACCTGATTTTCAGAACCGATCCTTTAATGGAAATAGAACCAGAGGACAACCCAGTTCTAGACCATATCAACAACCACCTAGAACTGCACCAAACTGGTTCGATAGATTGGTTCAGAGGCACAAAAATGGTTATGGACAAACGCCAAACCGAACTTTTCATAAGAAAACAAGAGGCTTTTATGGTAAATGGAAACCTAAATACGTTGATACCTATGAAAACCGAGTTTGCATGCATTGTGGCAAAATCGGGCATCTTCGGTATCAATGTCACTCTCGACAAAAGACCTTAGAAAGATGTTTTGACTATGTTCGATATCCATCCTCAAACAAATACAAAATGGAACCCAAGCAAGTCTGGGTTCCATGGACTAACCCGTGATTCAGGAACAGCGCCAAGTGAGGGGGAACAATCACTGGTT